TGGTTCAGTTCAGTTTCTGGTCAGTGGTAACCTCCAAGATGTTGATATTAGGGGATTCAGGGATGGAGATACCATTGGATGTTAAAGGATGATTGTTAGATTCTCTCTTGTTGAAGATGATTTTGCCATCTTTGAGTGGGGTTTGGTGTGAGTTGAAGTGCAGATGGCAGGATTCTAGACAAGTTCAAATTTGGGGAGTATGTTAAGTGTAAGGAATAGTTAAGGAATAATGAAGTCCAGCACTTACAAAGGCATTGATGAGAATTTCAGCCAGACATCAACTGAGGCAAATGGGGCCAGATGATATTATTGAAGTCGAATGATGTAGTCTTGTTGATGGAGTAAATGTGTGTTTGGAAGTTCATCTCGAGCTCAAGTAGGATGCCAAGGTTGTGAATGGCCTGTTTCAGAAAGTTGCAAGAATCTGTGCCAGAACCCAGCAGCATGGTTGTGGAGTTTGTGGTGAAGGCTAAAGACAGTGTTTGCTGTTTTTCTGACATTTTATTGAAGAAAATTCTGCTCATCTAATATTGAATGTTTGATTGGAAAATTGACAAAGTCAAAGGCAGCGAAGCATTCAGGAGGAATGACAGTGAGATGGAGTTGAGTATCGTTTCCATACATGTGGAGCTTGAAAATCTTTTAGATGATGTTGTCTCAACTTCTTGTTCTGTTTTCCGTATCCCCTCTCTGACACTGGATTACCAATCCTTTGCTGGGGCCTCAACCTCATCCCTTTACAATCCCACCTCGATCGTCTTCTACTTTGGTATGACACTGAGCTCATCATCCAACACCCGCACCTCCGCATTCACTACTTCCATCAGAAGACTTTGCCTTGCGCTGCAGACTCTTGCTCCCTTTTTGAGAATGATTTTATCTCCCAAGTCCTGTTGTATGTGTGCTTTGCCTTTAAGAGAGTTCAACTTTAAGCATTCCATATGCTGTGGGTACACCAATGTTGTGACCCTTTTAGTTGGCTTTGCGTTCGCAATCTGCATGTGCACACTTCAATTGGTTTACTGTAATGTCTGCTTCATAACTAGTAATGTGCTCTACCATTTTAAGTAAAGCAAACTGCAGTTAATTCATTCCTGGTGAGTGATTTGATTGTAATCATGTTGGACCTCAGCTAGAGTAATGTGTACAATTCTGAGTGCCATATTATAGAAGGCATGGAGGTAACCTATGGAGAGGGTTAAACAAGATTAGACCCTTATGGGATGCTGGGAAAGTTCGACATCCGGGTATGAAATTCAGACACACATCACACTTGTACTTGACGTCCCTGTGCATACTTCGCACAGATGTAATGTTCTAAGGTGACCATGCGAATGGAACCTGAAAAACTATGATTTGCACCATCTACATGTGCATGTATACAAATACCACAAGTGATGGGTTTACATCATAAGCTGCCTGCCTAGCCTGAGCAAGTGTTAACATTAGTTAGAGTCACTTAGGCTTGTAAACAAATAGATATATGAATGATAAAATCAAGGCTAGGAATAAATAAATATATTGTGCGTGTCTATTAAAAATGAGGGTGGCCCAAGGTCACATAAGAATACATTACTGATGAACATTATCTCAGAACCTGGCAAGATGTTTCACTTTATCTATTATGAAAGTTAATTTAACTGCCACTTCTCTACTCAAGGACATTTGTCGATTCAATTTGTAAAAGTTCATTTTAATGGTTTGCCAAGGCTCCTCACTTATCAGATGGGATTTTAAAAAAGCTGTGGTCTTGTTTCATGATCGGCCAACTTGGAAACCTCTCTTTGACCTACAATTCATTAGAACAACGCTTAATGGCTAAAACTTCCTAACATGCTTGTAAAAAATATTGAACCGATCAACATTGCTTCAACTGATCTGCATTGTACAACAATCTAGCACTTTAGAAAAATTCTGCCTTCATATTTTGCCCCACTCGATTACTCGAATAGACGCCCTTTCTATGGGAACAGAGCAATTCCCCACATCACTCCTGCCCTCCCCCACCAAGAAAAAGGCCGATGGACAATTAAACTAGAAAAATATCTCAGTCAATCAAGCCAGATGATGCCTTATGTGTGAGGTTGAGAAAGCTTGTACAATTTTGCCTCCTTCACGACCTCATTACATCAGATGACATCAACCAACTCAACAGCATACCAGGATCCAAACCTGGAACTCTCTCGTTGGCTCTGGAGGGGCTTTATTTGAAATGGCTCCGAAGTATGAGAGCATCCAGACTACATGGGTTATTAGAGTTGTTTAGCACTATGCTATCGTGGGGAAAAAAAGACAGTAAAACATGGAAACACTGTACTGATCTGAACTGGAGTTCCATATTAACGTGTACAAAATGAGTTTCATCATTTCATCAAGGTATATGAAGGAAAACAAAATGCATTAAAGCACAGAAATGATGAAACTAGTCCAAAATCATTTTGTATACCTTTCTATACTGGACATAAATGAGTTTGGACCAGTACCAACTTTCTATGTTTTACTGTGATTCTTTTTTCTTTCATACACCTGGTTTTAGCAGAAAATTGTTGCAAGACACCAGAATTTATTGGGATAGCTGGTGCCCAATCTGCTCAGGCATCCCATTGCCAAATCCGTGGAGATTATTTTGAAGCAGTCGACCTCTTAGCTATGGAAAATAGGCATTCTTGAAAGGCTCCCACTGAGACCAGTTCAGAAGTCGCACGACACCAGATTATGTTCCAACAGGTTTATTTAAAGTCATTAGCTTTCGGAGTGCTGCCTGATGAGAGAGCAGTGCTCCGAAAGCTAATGATTTTAAATAAACCTGTTGGACTATAACCTGGTGCTGTGTGACTTTGAACTTTGTCCATTTCAGCCCAACACCCGGCATGTCCACGTCAGAGAAACCAGTTGACAATAAGCAGTGTAGGTGGTCTGCTCTGCTTATAAGTCTTCCCTGTGACCATCAAAGGTATGTAATTTTTAAAAACAATATGACACAAAGGGACCGGAACTGCCCTCTGGATGGCACAGGTGTTATGATTAGCTGTCACCTGTCTTTCACCTCTCTCGGCCTTTACTTGAAGCCTGCAGTCTGTGAGGCCGATGGCCCACCATTAATGTCATTGCTGTTTGTGGAGCTATGGCCAACTCTGGTGGCTCACAGGGAGTCTGTTAAAGAGGAAAAAAGCCAAGTGCCATCAATTTGCAGGGTTACTGCATCTATTGGTCATGCACACTGAACCCCAGATACTGTACCCAAGCTAATTTCTAGGCCCATGTTACAGGCTTGCTATTAAAAAGATTTTTAAAAGTACTGACTAAATTCTAGAAAACCCACAGTGAAGGAAACTCTGTCACTATGATAGCAGGCTCATGTTGACAAAAACCAGGCTTAATTGTGTTTGAAATATACCAAGCAAATCATATCTTTCACTGATAGCGTTTTACACATTACAATGACAAAATCTAAAATCATTCATAAAACACTCCGCGGTCATTTTGTTTTAATGCTTATGGAACATGGAACTTGTTTAATTCTGTTTGAGAAGTAGCTACATATAATCACTATTGTGGGCAATCTGTGCTTTTGGAAAGCATTTTGTTGCTTTTGTTTGAGTTCAAATCACCGAATGAAAATTAAGGAGTTGCTGTATAAAGACTTGCAAATTAGATTCTTTTTTATTTAGAGTTTATGAAAATCCTGTATGAACCATAAAATTTCTTGGCAAGGTGGTTCTGAGTTTTTCTCAAATAAAGCCAAAGTGAATGCATTGTGTAAACAGTAAGATCCCATTGGACCCAGCATTGTGCTTTAATTGCTTTAAATCTCAGGAGCAAGTCAAAGATTGGCTCAATCAGAAGGAACAAAGGATAATTACTCATTCAGCTGTAAAGGAACAGCAAAAGATAGTCAGTGGGTTCCATGGAGCCATTAACTCCGATACTGGATAGAAATGAGTTTGGAAGCTGAGACTGAAACAAAGTTATCTTAATTAATTGAGGGAGAGAAGAGCTGTAAAAGGTGAAAGAATAGTCCAAATACAGTAGGAGGGGAAAGATTGGGGAATTGAGTTTAAAAGTAGCAAATGCCAATCAATGTGCCCAAATTCAGGGAATGGAGAACAAATGCTGGGAATGTAAGATTGACAGTAACAATCTTCTAAAACCGAAAATAAAAAAAAGGCTTCAACTATAACTGAGTGTAACATGAAAATACTGTATAGATTTGATTTTAAAATTCATAGCCTTATATTCAATGCCTTGATGCCCCACTCTTCCTTATCTCTCTAATATCCTCCACCCTTCAACCTTCCAACAACTCTACATTCTTCCACGAAAGACTTCTTACACATTCTACCCATTGCAGGGTGTGTTTTCAGCTGTCTGGAAACCCAAACTCTTAAATTCCCTCTCTAAAGCTCTGTGCATCTCAAGGTTTATTTGCTCCATTAAAATCTTCCATGAAACTTCTCTATTTGCTCAAACTTCCCCATTCTAAGCACTCCTTCTGCACAGTGTCAGTTTTGTCTGATTATGTTCCTGTAAAACACCTTGGAATGGCCTACAACTTTGGAAACCTCAATACAAAATACAACTTAATGTTGATAGTTCATGCAAACAATCAGTATTCAGCACAGCATATAAGGAAGTCAAAAGAGGCATATTGCCTGGCGCACAAAATGTAAAAGTGAAGGAAATAAAGGAACTCAGTTGTTCTTTCATTTTTCTTGAACTGTTGTCCAAAATGTTTCTTACACAAAATAAAAGCTCAGAAAACAATATCTAGAACTATGGGGACGAAACTTGAGCAAAGGAGAAGTAGTGGACTGGTTGCTATCATACCCCTGTTTAATTTTACTGTCTATTGATTTGAAAGGGGGGAAAAAAAAAGTTGTGAGAGAACATATAGAGGAAGCCAATTTGTTCCCTGTGAAATTGTATTTCCATTGTATCCAAACTAAATTTTAGCATTATTAAAATATTTGTATTCTAGATCATTTTTCTGATGTTATTTTTTTCAAAATATAAATTTATGTTTCTACAGGGGTCTGATGCCCAAAACACTGGATGGACAAATCACCATGGAGAAAACACCAAGTTACTTTGTCACCAAGGAAGCAGCTGCCCGAATCTATGCAATGTCCAAGGATGCCAAGCTAATAGTGGTGGTTCGGGATCCTGTCACGCGGGCTATTTCTGACTATACGCAAACTCTCTCAAAGAAACCAGATATCCCCAGTTTTGAGAACTTGGCCTTCAAAAACAGGACTACAGGCCTGATTGACACCTCATGGAGTGCTATTCAGATTGGCATCTATGCCAAGCACCTGGAGAATTGGCTCCTTTATTTCCCCATGGGCCAGATTCTGTTTGTGAGTGGAGAGAGGCTGATCAGTGACCCAGCAGGTGAACTAGGCAAAGTACAAGATTTTCTGGGTCTGAAGAGAATCATCACAGACAAACATTTCTATTTCAACAAGACTAAGGGCTTCCCCTGCTTGAAGAAGCCAGAGGGCAGCAGCAAGCCCCACTGCCTGGGCAAAACAAAAGGCAGAACCCATCCCAACATTGACCCAGAGGTGGTTCAGAGGCTGAGGGACTTTTACCGGCCTTTCAACATGAAGTTTTACCAAATGACAGGACAGAACTTCGGTTGGGATAACTGAAATACTAAGCATGTAGAATATTACCAATAAGACTTTTTTGAGTAAAATAATAAGATGAAAAGATATACTGAGTAAATTTGGACATGATGCTGTTGCTACTTTGTCCTGATGTTCAAATATGCATTTTTTGAGTTATTTATTTAAACTATTAGCTACATATTACAAAAGGTTATAGAATGAGCACTCTAGCACATTTGCATTAGAGTTCAGTTTAACTTGGAATTATTTAGAAGTTTTAGTCACTTGTTATCTCAAAATTGCAAAACCCTTTCACAGAAATTGTTATTTTTACAGAGTTGCTAATTCTTTGTATTATCTTAATATTTTATTCACAGATTGCTTTAACTGAGGGTGCTATTTCTGTATTGGGTAATTTCTTTTACCTCATTTATGAGTTTTTAAAAGCACACATTTAATAAAGGTTACGGGTATTTATAACAATATCAGTTGCAATCGGGAGTCACTATTTGCCTTAAAGACATGGTATGACTTTGTTTTTGCTATATCCTCACCTGTTTATGAGAGCGAAGCAGAATCTTGAGGGGTTAACACTGGCCTGAAATACTTAAAACAAGACTGCACCTCACATGGAAGTAGTACACTTTTGGTTTGAAAAGGTAGAGGGATTCACTGAGGAAATTTAAAAAAACGTGGGTGTTTATGATTGTTGCTCCAATTTTGAATTGGTTGCATGCATTGCAACTGCTGGAATTATGAAATATAATATTGCAAGCACACAGAGCAGGCAGTTCTAGCTGCTCGGTCCTGAAGATCAAAGACATTCAATAATGTATTTCCAAAACTTTCCGACTTCGTTATTTCATTGCATGGCTTATTTGGCATACTTCAAAGAGTGGTTATTTCCCAAGAGCTGCTACCTTAAATTGGAATGAAAGGAGATTCATTTATTCATTCATTCATATGCTGTACTTAAAGGCAAGACCTTGCCCCTGTATGCTGATGCTTTATCCTGAAGAGAGATATTAATCTGCAAATTATGCCATAACATAAAATAATGGGAGAGCAATGCTCTTAACTCATTTGCTCTTGTACGGGTATGTAAATAAATCATCCTAGCTAGATTATATTGTGTATTATAGATTGGTATGAAACATTTTTCTCAGATCCCAAAGTCTAGCATTTGCTGAGAAAAGACCTGTGAGTTTGATCCACATCCTGCCATTCATATCTAAGGAATCTGTGGAAAGGTAAGGGCACATCGTGAGTTATAAATTGCTCCATGATGCTGGATAATTCATGCCACTCCTAAAAACATGTTCACCTAAACCTCACTGATGTGCTGGGACACCATATTATTGAGGATGTGATATTTCTGGATCCTCCTCTGCTTATTTGTTTAATTATCTACGACCATTTATGACTGGAAGTGGCAGGACTGCAGAGCTGAGATTTTACCCATTGATGTAGGATTGATATGCTTTGTCAATTCCAGCATATTGCATGCTGCTTCCACTGTTTGACATGTAAGTAATCCTGTATTGTAGCTTCACCATCTTAACACTTCATTTTTACATATTCCTGGTGCTGTTCCTGGTTCATTGAACCTGAGTTGCGCCCAAGCTTGATGATAGAGTGGGGTATTTGCTGGGTCATGAAGTTACAGATTCTGGCTGAATTACGATTCTACTCCTGCTGATGGCTCACACAATCTCTTGGAATTCCAGTTGCTAGATCTGTACAAAAAATATGCCCTTTAGCACTGCGGAAGTGGAACACAACACAATGGAAACATGGTTGCTGTATTAGTAGTCTGTGGGACAGCTTTTCCAATTTTGGCACAAACCCCTGGAGGAGCTTTTATTAAGGAGGACTATGCACAGCCAACAGAACTGCATTCGTGTTGTAGTTTCTGGTGTCTAAGTGAACATTAAGTGGTCTGTCTGGTTTCATTCCTTACCTTAGGTTTCATAGTAGTTTTATCAAACTGAGTGGATTTCTGGACCATTGCTATGGGTTTGAAATTGCATGTAGGCTGGATCAAGTCATGATGGCAGATTTCTTTCTCTAAAGGGCATTAGGGAAACAGATCAACTTTTATAACAATGGCTTCATGGACACCATTAGGTTAGATATGAATTTCAGATTTTTGAATTGAATTCAAATTCCATCATCTGCCCTAGTGGGATTCCAACTTACACCCCCAATCATTTACAACAAAAACAAAAGTTGCTGGGAAAGCTCAGCAAGTCTGGCAGCAAATCACAGTCAACATTTTGGGTCTGGTGACCCTTCCTCAGAACTTCCCTAATCATCAGCCTGGGAATCTGGATTATTAGTCCAGTAACATAACCACTTTAGAGACAGTAAGGACTGCAGATGCTGGAAGCTAGAGTCAATAAATATACAGCTGGAAAAGCACAACAGGTCAGACAGCTTCTGAAAAGCAGGGAAATCAACTTTTTGGACTGAAACCCTTTGTCAGGACTAGGGATGGGGGCAGTGGATACTTCACCTTGGGAGCTTATAGCCCAATGGCCTGAATATTGACTTCGCCAGCTTCAAAATCTCTCCACCCCCAACCTGTCCATCTTCCTACTCACCTATTCACTTCACCCTTCCCACTGACCAACCAAAACAACCCTCACTTACATCCACCTATCTCCATCCCACCTACCCTACCCCCAGCCCAACCCTACTCCCTCTATTTATATCTTGGGTCCCCTTCCCCTTCCCCCTCCCCAGTCCTGTTGAAGGAATTTGGCCTGAAACTTTGATTTTCCTGCTCCTTGGATGCTGTCTGACCTGCTGTGCTTTTCCAGCTCAACATTTATTGAACGTTACCACTGTTAACCCCACTGCCTCACCTTCTGCACTGCAACAATTTTGTGATTCTATGAAGGGGAACAGTTAAAACTCCAGATAGACTTTTTGAAGTTTCTAATTTTTTTTGGATTTTATCTTCCTATATTATCACTTGTTCTTTATCTATTCTTTGTCTATAAATTTCCCTGGCTAAGGAGATAGTCTATCATCCAATCATTCACCAAGCTTCCAGACAGCCCTGAGCAACTGTAAGTGCAAAGGACAAAATATCCCAAATTTCAAAATGCATATTCATACAGCATTCATAGAAAAAAAAACTTTGGCTCTCTAATGCTGACGATTTATGGATTAGTGGCAAATTGCCACTCATTATTTCTGCTTACTTGCTGCACAATGCATGCCATGTCCCATCTTGGTGAGTGAATTAGCATTGCTATTATCTCCAAGCTCAGAAAGTACAAAGAGTAGACAGGTTATCATCAGTCAGTGGACAAATTTGATTTGTTGCCATCCCAGCCATTTGGAACCTTCTCACTCAAGTCAATGACTACTATTAACCATATATATTTGGAAGTGGATTTAGCCACAGGAGATGGCCCCACCACTACTGCTGAAAGACAGCACCAATGACTTGCGGTGTGTTTGCTGATTCATCTGGAATGATATGGAGAAGCTAATGACATTAAGTAAAGGTTGCACAGGATAAAAGCATCAGTTGCTGTTGTAAAACCCATATTACTGTGTTATAGTATTTAGGTTATAGTAGTAATTCTTTCTCACCCCTGTTCAGTAAAGACCAAATGCTATTCCAAGAGTCAGGGGAGAACGGCTCTAAGAAGGAGGCCTTATCCAACAGTGATCTTACAGGAACACTTCATTTATCTCTCCATATGTTAGGAGCTCTTTGTAATTCAGTGGGGTCTTCAACAAGGGGATTGTCAAGCTAGAGCTGCAGTTTGGGATCAGTGTATATTTGGCACCACCAGGGACTGTGAAAGTGACCATTGCACCAGAATTGTTTGTGCTCAAATCCTTCAAGGCTGGAATGCATGACATAGTGAGCACATTGCTGTTCACTGGCCAATGCTGCATCAGAGAAATGGCATAGGTAATACATTCTAGAGGTGGAGACTTCTTTACCTCTTTTTTACAGAAAAGATAAACAGGGGAGCATGCAGGCACCTGTACTAGGCCAGTGAGCTTCACCTTGGATCAGGTTGCCATCGTCAGAACATGCACAGCTTTGTAAGCTATGTGTAATATACTAAAACTGCAAAGGAGTGCTCCACTTGGCATGTGACCATGTTCAGCAATTCGTGCAACTGAATTCCTAATCTCATGATAGCAGCCTTGATGAGCTTATCCCAAAGTGCGCTCAGCACTGGGTTGCCTGCTGCAATTGTCATAATTAGCAGTCAGCACAATGTTTGCATGCTACCTGCATTACTTTGACCTGTGGCAAGTTCATTGTACATTGTAATTGCAGAACCAACTTCAGAATCTTTCCAATTTTGCATGCCCCTCAGAATTGGTAATTCTCAAGCCACTGTCAAATATTTTTACAACTGAATGGATAAGGTTATACTCTTTATCTGTCTTGTTTTTATCTAATTATGAAGTATTTGTAATGTAAATTAGAAAAGTACCTTGTGTTTCAGGAGTTGCATCTCCCAACTTAGTATATGTACACAAATTCACATACCTATATTGAGGTGGAACCATACATTGAAAGGATTCCAGTTTTTTTTTCATAAACTGAAGTCAAGAGATCAGGTCTATATTGGAAGATTTGCAATGATGAGGAACTTAAATTTATTTTTGATTACTTTTTCTTCCTCTGTTAAAGCAATGTGCAATTTTTAGTGTTATCTTGTCTTTTAATTGACATTTTCTTCATAGCTCTCTGCTCTTCATAAAAGATTAATTTTAATTATCTATTATTCAACTTTAAAACCAAAAGTAAAACCATTTACTCCTGTTTGTATTGAAGTAATTCTTTCAAGAGTGAAAGCAACATTTTTCAAAACAAAACTAAGAAATAACATGGCACCTTTTGTACAAGATCCTGAATACATTCAGTAATAATTCCTGTATTAATCACTTGCAATCATCTTCAATATTTATGGCTTGATTGGAAATAGACTATGCTATAGAAACTATACATTTCTCAGATTAAGTTCTTCATATTTCATGAAGTTCCTTTTTAATTCCATGACTGTCCACCCCCCACAACACCAAGTGTTCTAACTGCCTAAAGATACGCTTAAACTATTTACCAGTAGATGGTAATATAAAGATACTGCTGTTTTATTCAGCCAAAGCTTGTAGATCTTCCATCCTCAACAGTTTAGTTTGTGACTAATTCTAATTTGTACCATCTCACAATTTCAGAATTAACCTTTTGCATAAATACTGGAAATACCTGTAGAATGAAGAGCTCATGTTTTCTTTTCAAGTGGATACAGATTCTAATTGTATTGACAAAATCAAACCCTTCCCTGTCTTTTCATACAGTTTGCATTCAAGAAACTTTACTCTGATAGTAATTCCAGATGCTGGTATGCACAGTGGGACTTTTAATTTAATATTTTTATTTTGACCATATTCTGAT